CAACATATAAGTTGTCTCATGAAACTGCGATCACCATCACTCAAGATCCAAAACGTGGTAAGAAATTTTAAAAGTTAATTATTTCTTTGTGTTCAGTTGGTGTCCTTCAATTCTAATAAAACATACTTTATTAAATCCATAAGGTGGGCATTTCATCCAACTCAACTGCTCTTTGATATTGTCATTAGACTAAATTTTTACGCTCTGAAGTTTTAAGAGCTATTCAACCAATGATCAACTGTGCCATTAAGTACCTCTGATAAGTTCTCGCCACGCTTCAATGCATTTTAACGCGATGACAACTTGTGAGTCTCTGTAACCCGTAGGGTACGCAGTATGGTTTTCCCCAACCATCAATTCAATTGAGCCTGAAAAGTAGACAGTTTTAGGTTCGATCGCACATAGATAATCGTCTGAGCAATAATTATTTATTGGTTTGCTCATATTTACTATGGCAGAGGGCACTTCAGTAGTTAAGTAAGGGGGAGAATTAGCTTAGCATTTGAAAAGCTTCGTTAGGTGGATATAAACAACTTGCTCTCTTCCAAAACGTGTGTAGGACATTGGTCAATCTAGATTATCCGGGGTTTTAGATGGCCGGCAGACTGTACATTTTATGGAATCAGTGTTGAATGCTACGTCATCCAAGGACTGGCGTACTGCTACAGTAGTGGCACCGCATAAGTCTGAACCTAAGAGCAGGGCAGATGATTATAGACTCATCAGCAAAAAAGTCCGTGATTGCAAGTGCCTGAAGCGATCGATCAGAAGACAGGTCCTCTTACGTCTTAATAGTGATCGACTCCTGACACCAGCACAATACGATTTGTTGAGCGGAAATCATGCTTAACAAGTCTGCTAGTTTATCAAGACAAAGTCACACTACATATGGATGAGGACCAAAATGCAGAAATAATTCAGTTAGATTTCTGCCAAACATTAGATTCAGGAAGACATCTTTTGTTGGAATCCAAAATTCTGAGCCTCGGTATAACCGGTAAGGGAAATGAGTGAGCAATCGTACGTTTAGTTAGGGTGCGTGGCTGTCTCCAAACCTGAAACAGACACCATTGGGGTTCCCCGAGGCTCAGTTTATGCCCCTTGATATTTCTCATACTCATTACCGATCTGGCACAGAACCTTCGAAATCCGTGTTTTCTTTATTTTTAGTGATTGTGTCAAAACTACAGGATTGAATCTGCAAAGAGATCTAGAGGTAGTCTATCGATGGTCACTCTAGTGGGATCTGCCATTGAATGTAAGCTTTAGGTAACGTTATCTAGTACATGGTTTCAACATTTATGACCAATACAATAGGTCTCGCAGATGAAGGATCTATAGGTCCTTGTGACCCATAACTCAAACCCACCACCCAGCACATAAAGACCGCGAATCAAGCCAGGAGAAGCTGTTCAAGCTGTCTTACAGTCACATGAAAAAGGCCTGTATAAGGCAATTTTTCTCATGCCTGGAAACTATCATAGGGGGTGCACCATGCTTAGAAAGGTTACAGCCTCTAGCCAGCCCAATGGTAGATGGACAAACGGAGAAAACTTATAGGCAATGGTTAAGAGATCTTAATCTCTTCTCACTGGAATGTACATGAACGAGGGTAGGTCTGAGAATTAAAATTGTCAGAGGTCTATCGGAAGTCAAAATAGATGACTTGTTTGATTCCTCGTACTCAGAAGACGATAGCTTTAAAATTCAATCAGGTCGAAACAGCTGTCCAGTGCTTCAGGTCATGCCCCATATGCACGACGAATTCATCATACAAAATTATCACGCCAGGCTGGAGTTCCGGGCCACATTCGTCTCAGCAGTAGTTAACTGCGCCAATGTTAACAGCTGCAAAGCGGCACTGAATGTGTGTTGGTTTCCTACATTCCCGGAGGCTAGTATTTAGATCGAGGACAGCGTAGGCGGAATCTACTACAGTCCGTAAGTGTAAAATGGGTTTACATGAATTTTGATTTGTGGAACGGATGTGCTCCTCAAACCTGAACGCTTGAGAAACTTTCTCACCGACGAGGGGAGATGTCTTTCTTTAATTCCTCTTCCAGTATATCGAACGAATGTGTAAGTCTTTCAAATTGGTCTGAATTCATAAAAGCGCCAGGAACAGAACACTTACACAATGTTCGATGCCACGAGCAACTGCCACCAACACAGGACGAGCTCGTGCCAAAAGTCATATTCGCCCTGTGAAAAGTGCACTTAGGTGAGGTCAGGTAACAAGACTTTCGGCTATCATCAAGGAACTTGTAGATTGTTGCTGATGGTTCCCACTATGCTTTAACTGACAGGTAATCCCACAAATGTGTGATCGAGGTTGTACTGCAGAAAAAGATGAGAAGCAGGATCGCCTTCGGAGAATGGGTAGTCTCAGTTGCGATAGCTACCGCACCTCAGAGAGCTGTTAGGGCTGCAATGAAAGCTCTCCAATAGCTGAAGTATTGACATAGCCGTGCATGAGAGAAGTGATTTCCAGTCACAATATGAAAATGAAAAGGCTAGGGAGGGTGAATGGGTGATGTAAATGTGCAACCGTGGCCAGTCATACTCCGAAAGCACCTCATCCCAAAAGTCATTTAACCTTAGTTTGAGAGATGCAACAGAGTTCACCGCTACTAACGAAGGTGAAAGTTTATTCTATTCGTTTACCACAAGATATGAGAAAAGGTGCGCCTAAGCGCTACCATTGGCCTATGGGTTCCTCAGTTTTAGCTCGAGACGCCTGACGGTTGGATTTTGGTTGAGTGAACAGGGTATGAAATCCCTAACCAGGAGACTGGGTCACATAGGTCCCGTTAGGCTCCGTGGATGGGGACCTCGGGATGATCGTAACCGATAGAGTGATGTGGCTGAGTGCCCTAAACAGTGGCGTTCGTGTATCATCCCAATTTCTTTGCAACATTGGTCCAATGAAATTCTCCGGTTTCTATTCGGCTCTACTTTCGATTTTCCTGTCTTTCTCCTAGTGTTCATCCAAATGAGCAGCCAAAAGATAGCAACCAAAACCGGCACACGAAAATGCACGGTTAACGGTTGTACAAACTGAACTAAACTGAACTGGTCTGTTTCTTACTAACAGCCCCTGTGAAAGCCCCGATACGGTCAGGGGTGGGTGTTTCGAGCTGTGGCTAGTGAACTTTCCCTTGCATCTCGCGAAATGCTCCCATAAGACCAAGTGTTTAAGAAAGCCTCTACTGAGAAAACTTTATTCACTTATTCATGGTGATGTTTCCCACGAGCATTAGGACAAAAACCTACCGCCGGGTTGACGAACCACTAGCAGTTCACCTAAGGGAGTTGGCTACAAACCCTGATTCCAAACCGACCAA